TTGAGTTAGAATATTCTGCCCTCTGCTTCCTGTGCCATGTGTCCAAAACCCATGGAACAACACTGAACAGAGACTGTCCCATGGCCAGGAACACTTCATAAAATGCTGCAGGAACTATCCGACCTGCAGTAAGCTGATGATCTTCATGCCAAGCTTCATCCTCCCAGATGCCAAAGCACTTTGCACTCTCATTTTCTCTGGAGGTCAAGTACCTCTCATATTAAACCACTTAGAATAGAACAGAGGAATCAGAGTTTAGGAGAGGAGGAGATTATGTGACTCTAAAGAGGAGATCAAACAGCTGTGAGTTTGTACTCACATCCTCCTCGAGTTTGTCCTCCTGCCACTAATCATCTATCCTGCAACCAGCAAGTCAGCGGGCAGATTTCGCTGGCAGATGGACTGGGTCCTGTACACATGGTGAGCTGGAATTTTCCACTGTACATATTATTTTAGCAAAATGCAAGTGATCAAGAATTTACCATAATGTCTATTTACTACACATGCTAAAGGTCTGACCTCCTATACCAGCCAGAGGTCTGCACTTGAACCTGCAAATCTACAAGATTCTGATCTCAAGTATCAAAGTATCACAAGACGAATAAATTTATTACAGCCCAGTATTTAAACCACTTTCACCTTTTCACATCAGCTAGCTTAGAGCTACCCCACAGCTGATGAAATTGTAGATCAAATTTTTAATTGGGAAAATACTGTTCTAAATTTCCAAAAACTACAAAGCATCTAAAGCTATTTTAGATTTTAAACACGAAACTGATTTTCAGTTCTTGGATTCTAATCAAAGACCAAGGAAACTATAAGCTATAAGATTATTACTTCAGAAGTTTATGAGTTTATTGAAGTAATGAGATATTATAATGTTAAGTGCGAAGTCTGTATGACAAAGACTGCCAAGAGAATGGCAAAGGAATAATTTTCTAGACGATTCAGTCTTTTCAAGATAAAGCCTAGAGACTCTGGTATAATCAACATTTTAGAAGGCAAAATGATTTTCAGGATTTGATTCCATTTAATTATGGTAAGGATTCTTTAGCATGTCTTGCTTCAAACTCCAAAGCATGCAGCATGGATTATTTTTCTGTTTCAAGGTGATACAGTCTGAAGTTGCAGTAACGACATATATAGACTTGTGGGCATTTGTCCACTCTGCAGTTAGTGATGGTGTAGGATCTGGGAGCCATAGCTTTCTATTCTACTCTGACCCATTAGGAAGAGACCAAGACACTGCCAGACTTAGAAAGGGATTAACTGAGTTTTAAAGCACATTTTATAAGTGGTGGTCTGTAAGTAGGCATTTTTACTTCTATAGGCAGACAATGAGATTGACGGATGTTTCACAGGTCTAGAACTGCCAGTTAGACTGTTGGGAAGAAAAAAATTAAGAATGCTGGTGGACAGGAAGAAGATCACAAAAGCAAACACATTTTATTTGGGGATTTACTTCAATATAGAAAAATTATGAAAAAAAATACTCTTTTGGCTTCATCTCCTGGCCTGCTCTCCTTATGCAGTGAAAGCCCTTTGTCAGCATATCTATTAGGTCAACTTTCACATGCACTTGTGTAGCTTCTACAAACCAAGTGGAAACACACAAAAATGCTCTTTGAGAAGATCTAAATGCTATTTTTAGTGAACTCTGATTGTGCTTAGCTTACTGGGTTCTAATGTGGGTGATATTTTTTTATTAAAAGTCAAAACAGACTTCAAAAATGACTCTAGGCATGCAAAATTAAACCTCATAATGTAGTTGCAGTTTCAATATCTATTTTTAAATTATTCAGATCAGCTAGCCTTAGCTATATAATCCAAGTTGCCTTGGATTCCTCTTGTAGTCAATGAAAAGAGGCAGAAATATCGAGAAACAATTCACTATTTCCCTACTTGCCTATTTTATGATAAAATGAATTAGCAGGTATCCATCTCTTAGTGCTTGCAGAACAATATCTAACTTTAGAGGGCTAAGCTAAGGTAAGATGAATCTTGTTTTCACTCTGGGCCCATTAACTCATGCCTGGCACAAGAAGCATCCATGAGACATGGGGATTTTTCCCTCTCCATACAAAATTGCAGCTCTGTCTGCCGGGGAGTACCAGGTTTGTGTGAATTTATCACCTAGAGTCATTTCTCCTCACAGAGCTTGAAGAGAAGAAACCTGGCTCAGGTCGTGGGGAAACATAAGCTTTCTTTCATGCTGAGGTATGTCTTACCTGCTCCTGGGCACAATCACTTCAAAGCCTTCCTAGCAGTGAATGTTGTGGTATGCATCTCACAACACCAGCCTGCACGTTAAAAATAGAATTTAACCCCAAGGGGGCCTGAATACTGTTGCAACATATTTCAGCAGCTTCTATAGTGGGCTTCTGTAATACAGCTATAAAAACTGCAACACTTAAACAAACATTAAAAAATTTTTACATGAAATGGGCAATTAATTTGATTTTCTAAACAGTTTGATCTAGTGGGAGGTTAATAAGGGGTGGAAATTGTTTGTTCAGGTCTCATTTATTGCTCCAAATTGTGCCTCTAAATAAAAGACATTATAAGCCAAACTGAATTAAAAAATACAGATGTTTTGCTGATCATTTAACAGCGTTTAATTTCCCAACCTCTTTTTCATTTAGAAAAAAAAAAGTTAGAAAAAATCATGAGAAGCCCTATTTGAAATGCAGGTGACTTGTCACTGGATTTGACCCCAATTTTCACTCAGATGTGAGACAGTGACCTACACCAGTAAGTTTTCATAGGGAAAGCTATACCGTTATTGACATTCATTAAATCACTTGCCAGTATGGTACCAAGCAGAGTCACAGTCTAGGTCATGTGTGGGCTATACACCTGTTTCATCATGCATTATTTAAAAAAAAATAAAGTCACAGCTAAGGTGACGATACTATTAACTTGGTATAAAAAGCAATTAAAATCTTCAAACAGTGAACTTTCAAATAGTGCAGCAACACTTAAATGTCATATTTCTGTTGGAAATGTATTTTTAATGATAACATTTCTTTGTAATGTAAATCAGCCGCCTCTCAATTATAACATGTTAATCAAGTTATGTCTCAATTGCTGCCTACCCATCAATGCCTACAAGTCCATCACATGTCATTCTGTAAAAGCATACTAATTACTTGATTATATTTCAGCCAAGTTTTGCAAATCCAACTATTTTCTTCAAGACAGCATATTACGTGCAGATTTGTCTGTGGCGGTGGAGAGGAGAGCAGAAGGCACATTTGCACCCTGTAACTTCAGCCTAATTGAAATCCTTCAAAGTACCTTAACATGCAGGACTTGATTGTAGAAATTGGAAAAAAGGAAACATGGGTACTCACACACTGCTTCCTAGCATTTTGTGCACAAGTGTCCAAGAGGGGTAAGGAAAAACACAAGGTTAAAAGGAATAAATACTTCAGACTGATTCAATGTGCATACCTCAAATGCAGAGCAGGACTTGATTGGGTAGAGGTAAAGCTTGGTGACAGTGGTGGGCTTTCCACCTTTTCTACATGTTGGCACTGCAGTCTCAGAAACAGCTGCCCTTATGCTTTCTGGCTCAGCCTCCCGTGGCTGCCGGCTGCCAGTTGTCTTTGTCACAGATAGATTATTCCTGAGTTCTCTGTCTGAGATTTGCAGTATTGGAGACAATTTATCTGCATTGTTAAAGGAAGGATGGTCATCTGGAACAGAATCTGTCGTCAGCTTTGTAACAGACTGGAAAGGAACCTCAGTGTCCGATTTTGAGAGCCTGGTGCCTATGATGAAATTCAAAAAGGTCTGTGCATCTTCAAAAGAAGACATGTAGCCAAAGGATATTCTCACAGAACCAGTAGGATGTCCATCAACTAGGTCTATGTCATCTCCACAGACATGGCCAGCCTAGTTTGAAACAGGAAGAAAATGAGAGAGCTGTTATGACACTGCCTTATTTCCCTCTAATTTTACCTAGTTATTATTTAGTCTCTTAATTATAACCTGAACATCTGTTGTTAAAATATACAAGGTTAATTCATGAATACAAAGAGAAAACAAAGAAAAAAACCCCTCCCAACTACCTTATGATTTACTCAATCTAAGAAGATAATGTTAAATCGCTTGTCCTAGTCTAGTTTCAGGGAAGAAATGCTCCTCAAAACCTATTAAGAATCACAAAAAGGTTGCATCTCTCAAGACTGCCTGTTAGCTAGGGCGACCTTCTGGTACATTCCAGTCTCACCTGCATAGTTCACTGGGATTTCAACTTGGATATTATGCTTAGATAAGTGAATAAACCATGAGATGGTCAATTTTTCTGGGGAAGTTTCCTTGATATTCACTATCAGAACAGTTCCATTTTATACCATTGGTGGCTTATTCATGGCTTGTGTCAAATAGTCCAAACAGCAGAGAACTGATCTGGGATATTAGCAAAGCAAAGACTTGAATCTAGAGCTCAAACATCCAAAGTTACTTCCCTTGTCATTGGGATATGCAGTGAATCTGTCTTGCTGATCCAGCCAAGACATTACTTGCAGAATGGAGGGAACTAGCCTTTCCCCTATCACTTCCCCCTTTGAAGAACACAAGTTTCCACTTGTGACCTCCATGTAGATACCACTCAATTAGATACATTTTTCATACAACACTCGATGGAAAATTCTCCCTTAAGAGCAGAAGTCTCTCATTCAGTAAGTGGGCCAGTGAGTGCTACCACTTATCATCAGTGAGGTAAGCTAGAGTCCCCCTTTTCTCATTCATCTAGCATTAGCTCACCAATAGACATAAGATTTAGTCCTAACTCAGCATCTTATTCCTCTAAGTGCAGCAGCTGTTGGGTTATTTTCCTCAGAATTTAATTTATTTACGCATTTCTGTTACATTAAAAATGAAAGTGTGAATAGTTTATTTACATGAGGGTATTTTTAAGCCAGAAATGTCACAGTACAATGAACACATGCCACTTATTCAAGGAGAAATAAAAAACCTACATCTATGACAAAGCATGCAATACCGTAGTAAATATTTTAATGCAGTGTGATGTAGTTTTTATTCTTGACAACAGAGCAGAAGCAACATTTGCAAAGTTAGGTTGTCTCTGTTAATATACCCATCTCCAACCCTTCTGCCAAGTATTGCTTGATTGACTGAGGAGAGGCTCCTGCTGTGCAAATAAGTAGATGAGCTCCTATGTAACATCCTAAGAAAACTAACCACAGTTCTCCAGGGACCCTTGAGGGCATAAAGTCCTCCCCCACAGGCATTATATACATGGAAATCTGGATCAGGGAAAGAAGAATACAGTCAGCACTCTGGGAAAAGATGAAACTAAAGTATGTGTGCAAATAATGTGATAAAAGATGCCTTCCTCTACACAGTAATATTGTTAGTAACTCATCCTGATCCTTCTCAAAGACCTGTTGGGAATGGAATGTCCCAAAATAATGACTGCATGACTGTACCACCTCACCACACAGCTTTTGGCAGATTAAGTGTCTCTTTATAAATCTGACTTTGGCCTATCCCCATTTAAATCATACAAACTTAAAAGAGTCATTTGGCATTTTGCACTTCAGCAGAAGGGTATAGCCTTTTTTAGATTCTCAGTGGAGAAGGCTTCTATGGCAAATCAAAGCACCATTTTGCCAAGGAAGGTATTAAGGAGCTCCACCCTTTAAGAACTTGTGCTATCAGTCCTGCATGTAAATGTGTTTGCAAAAGCTGTCTAAATGTCTGTGAAGTTATAAGGGAGCTATAATATCAGTACAACCATTAGACTTTTTTTTACCTTTTGAAGAACACCATTAATTAAATTTTTGATTGTTCTGAATTAATTTACTGTAATTTCAAACTCTGTCAAATATGCAGACATGAAGCTTCCCCCAGTTCACTGTAATGCTTCCTGCTATACATCTTCTAATGACAGTTTATGGAAAATATTAATAATCTTTAAAGCAATTTTACATTCATGTTATAACAATCTAACACACCAGTAATCTATGTAGATATCATCTAAATTTACTTTGCTCTCTGAGATTCACTGTGTATTCCCATTTATTGTTTCTCATTCAATTTGCATATGTATTTTAAACTGTAACACCCAACAGCAAATGGTCTATAATACTTGAACGTTATTAAGTACAATTAAGGATACTTAAAGAACAACATGAAATGAATTGTCCAGGGACTTCTATTCTGCAGGAAGTCTGGGTTCCATGTCATTCCAAATCAGAACAAGAAGGCACAATTTCCTATTTTCCAATGAAATAAAAGCAAGCAACACATACTGCTTTAGGTCCATCAAATGATTTTGTTTCAACATCTCATTTCAATCAATTGAATTCCAGTTAATTAAGTTCTTTAACAAGGTAAGTGAGTTGAAAGGTCAGAGAAAGCAAATCAAATTTACCTTCAGTCTTAAAGTCACAGAGACTCAAAACCACAGCACTTGGGCTCGAGTCCCTTCACCAGCCTTGTTGCTCTTCTCTGGACCTGCTCCAGCACTTCAATATAGTTCCTGAACTGAGGGGCCCAGAACTGCACACAGTACTCAAGGTGTGGCCTCACCAGTACCAAGTACAGGGGCAGAATCACCTCCCTGGTCCTGCTGACCACGCTTGCATGATACACTTACTTTAGCTTTCAACTACTTTTTTTTTGATGCAGAGAGATATTTTTTGCTCCCCTTTAAACCTCCTACCTTTATGAAATTCAGAAATGTTGGCCAGAAGATATCTCCTGGGTCACTGAATCTAAGTATTTTCCACGGCAATATATCTTATCATGTAATCACATTCGGAAACTAACCTGCAGGTTCCTTTGGATGTCCTCATTGCTTATATCCAAATGCATCTGGCAGGCTCCCGTGTTACAGAAGCAACCCGTGCGGACGTGTATGTTGTGGAGACTGGCCATCTTGTCCACCTTCCCCATTCCCCCATCAGAAGATATAGGAGAAGAATGAAAACCAGACATTTTAAAGTTTAGGTCAACAAGGTACAAATCGATGGAGGTAAATTATCTCTTTAAATTATTAAGAACTTATTGTAGCTTTTACCACTCCCATACACAATTCACATTTAGAATTTTAGACCTTGATGTTTCAGCTACAAGAAAACAGTGATAGAAGCATTGACAGACTACGCATAGACTACACATCACGTCACACACACACACAAAGAGGTTCAGGTCCTGATCCTGTAAATGTCAGTACATCTGCTTAATTTTAAACCTGTGAATAGGTTTATTCACATCAGCAGTGCTAATTGCAGGCCTGCAGCCAGGTGTCACTTGGTGTCTTGACAGAACCACCACCTACAACTGCCTCTGCTGAGACTGAAGAGAAGACTGGGGCAACTTTGCAGTTAGCTAAAGTAAACCTTGTTCTCCAAGGATCTGAAACTGCAAGTCCTCATCACAGAAACTGACAATATCTGTGGGATTTTGGCACACAAGTGCTGGAAGGATCAGCCCCTCAGTAAGCAGTAACATCTGACAGGACAAGGAGCGAACTGGAAAGCTTCCTTGAGTCTTGCACATACAACCACCCAGTCTACCGAGTCCCTAGTGTATTTTTCACTCATGCTGTGCTGTTTGGTGTTACACCATTTTTTTATCATCCACTAAAAAGTGAATGGGCAGAAATACAGTACTTGATGACAAACTGGCATGAACAAATAATGTGAAGGAATGAAAATTATGTGCAAGAGAACAGAAACACATGCCCATATGTGCCTCAGAAGGAGACGCATATATGCAAGGGCTGGGAGGACAGCACTGCAGAGAAGAAATATGAATTGTCAGGGTTTCATAGCACAGCTTAGAAATAAGAGAAGCACACCACAGGGATCCTCTTAGCACAGCTAAGAAACCATGGAAGCTCACTGCAGGGACCTGGAAATGCTTCATATTGATTTCAAAAAGCAACAACAGCAGCTGGTAAGTTTAGCTGAGCTACCACCAGTTATTTCCAACAAATGATGAACATTCCCGGTCAGCACTGCGAAGAAGGACAGTCAAATGCATGAAATCTGGCACATCATACCTCTACCACAGACTTCCAGAATAACCTTGCACAAGGGGCATTAACACCTCTGTGCTTTTGCTCTTTTTCTAGAGAATGGAGAGCTGAGAGCTCTGAGAATAACGATGCTGCGGACTGAGGGGACCCAGCTGTACCAGTGATAGAATCCTCCTTGCAAGAAGCTCAGTTTCAGCTGTGTGCAGAGTGACAGCTCAGCCTAAAGATGCAGGAATGGAAGTTTCAACCATCTAATACTAACCACTTCTCTAACTGTGAGCTCATGCTTTATCTGTCTCATGCATCAATGTAAACATTCAACCCAGCTTTTCTAGCCATCTTAATCTCTATTGGCTTTTATTATTTTAAACATAAATTCCCTCTGTACAGGATAACAGCCCAATATATATAGCAAATACTTTCTGGTATAATCCAGTCCATCTTCTGTCTCAACATCATCAAACTTTTGATGTCAGTCTATCTTCTGACATCTCTGAATTTAACTGTGTGAGATACCAAGCACCTTTAAGTACACTATCTCAGCAGCTGGAAAAACTATACCTTCTGTTAGAACTCTGGGCTGAAATAATTCAGCCTAAGTAGTATTTAGCTCTGCTAAAAGCAGTTCAAACAGACTTCTTATTTTTAACCTTTTTTTTTTTCATGTGTGGGGTACAAGGTCCTCTGCACAAAAATGTGCTGTATACTACATCACTATAGCACACAAGTTCTTGAGTTCACACTTAAATATGTACCGCACCACCCTTTCAGTTCAAAATGGTTCAGCTCTCCAACAGATATACAATCAAAGTAACTCTATATATGCAGACTTGGAAAGCAGAGAACAGAATCGGTCCCATCATCCCTACTCATGATTAATGCTTTGGAGAATATCCTGTGTTCAAAGCATGCTTCTCAAATTGAAGTTATAGTAAAAGGCATCTGTTGAGAAAGACTGTTGTGGTGTCACTAGCTTTGTTTTGTCAGAAGACTTCAATCTGGGAACAGTGACATTTTCTTGACGTCTTTTTTCATTTAGAAGAGAGAAGTTTGTCATCCTGCCATAACATGGTTTGTCATGGTGCTAGTGACTCGTGGGTGGATCTATCGTTCTGTTAATGATGACAAGCGAGGCAAAAATGACAGATACTGCACCACTGAAATCATACCGTGTTTGGTCTTATTTACTCACTATACAAAAAGCTTTAAAATATATATTCTTTTTATTATTACTACTTTTTGAAGAAACATTGCTGGGGCAGCCTTGCTTATCAAAGTGTATGCAGTGTCATGATATTTTCATGGCACAACTTCAAGGGATTGCAAACAAGAATTTATTAAAAATCTTCTAAATTTTGTCAAATAAATTATTCCTGCTCTTTAATGAACAATAATTTCATTCTATCCATGCAACCCAATACCCTTCTACAATAATACTTCAATTGTGACATTTATTAACCTGTAGAGTAGATGAGGATTATTGATACATAAAGTCATATGATCATTAGAGGAATATGGGAAATGTGATTCAGGATAACAAAGATGAGATTTGCATAGCTTTAGTATTAACTGAACTTCACTGTCACTGATGTCATAATGTGCACAGGTCTTGGGAATGTGATGTACAGCTTTCATTGGAAACAATGACATCAGATAGAGAACCAGTAAAGGCAGCACTGCAAAAATATCTGTCCCTTGAATGAATGCTTGGCTTTCCCTTGGACATATGCTTTGATTTCTTCTTGTTTAGTTTCACCCTAGAAATGTGCTACTTGGGGAGTTAATTTAATCTGTCTCTGCAGTGCTACCACATAGCAAAACAAACAGAACATAAAACATCTGTTACAGTTATTTGAATGAAGAAAGGCTTACTTAAATAAAGCACATCTTTAAAATTGCCATAAGGAGCAATAATGGATATTGAGCTCAGGGTTATGAAATACAGAACATTGCTTGCAGCTCTGTCTGTAACAGCAGCAGCTGACTTCTGGGAGCCAGGAATAAGTTCATCAATGAAGGCACAGAAGCATGAATGGTACTAATGGTAAGTACACAGCTTAAAGTACTCGCAATGTCAGTTTTGGCGATTCCCTAGGTCTGATACTTGGAACTATTGTGCCTTGGTCTTTTAGAGCTTAAAGACTACAGTTTAACTGCAAAACACAGGCAGAATCTTGCAACATTTGTACTGATTTCAGTGAGGACACGGCAATTAAGCCATTACGATATCTTAGAGTCCCTTCCGACCCCCAGAGCCCCTTGGCATTCATTACTTTTTCTGAAGCTTGTTACTGTCAGCCAGTCCTGGTAGGTTGCTTTACACCCCAACACTTCTGATGTCGTATCATCTTGATTTTTGACAGGCAAAAGGTGCTTTTCACACTTTCAAGCCATGGACTTCAATTTTAATAAAGATACATGAATGAAGTTCACATAAACCAATTTTTTAAAACAAGTTTGTTTTTCATTCTCAGATAATTTCTATTTTAAGCACAGCTGCCTTCCTCAGGGAGCTTTCCTTTAGTGTTGCCAGATTGATCAAATGCTCACATTAAGGTTTTTTTTCATAGTGCTGTATCTGATAAATACAATTTTTTCTCTACTATAAAAATATTGAAGTGGAGAGCTTTCTCCCCTTCTCATTTTAATGCATTACCCTACAGTAGTCCCCTCTTGGATATCTGGTATTTCAGTTGACACAGCAACTGGACAGCTCTGAAAAGAAATGAGATTCTGTTGTGCTCTGCTTTTCTATTCCCTGTTGCACAGCTGCACCAGTGATTTCTCTGCCTTTGCTAAATGACTGACTTCTGCTATCCATTCACTTCAGGGCCTCCAGGGCAGTCAGCTGAAAAGTGCAAGGTTTTCTCTGGCTTCAGGTTCCATTGAAATTAGTTTGAAAATGATGCTTGCTGTAGGTAGATATATACTAGATGAGAGTAAAGATTTACAAATAGCATATAATTTTGCATTATTCCTAATAAACTAAGTCTAAGATTTTCACTAAGAGTGATGATTCTTTAGGAACCCCTGCTTAAGTCATTCCCATAGGATACAATTCTGTAGCTCTAATTCAAGCAAGTACTTCTTATTTGTGTAAGTTATTTTACTGAGTATCACAAGAATTATTCACAAGAATAAAGGAACATTTTATAATAGATCATGAAGTGTCCTGAAAAAACCAAAATCATATAAGTCAATACTGACAGTTACTGTCCTTCAGGAACTGGGATTGGGACTTCTCATTCTACTTTCTACAGTGTCCAAATTTCAGAGCAGTTTGTTTGTCTGATGGATTTGCTCATTACAAGAATTTCACTGCACACCACTGATGGCTGGTTATAAAACAGGCTTCATGACGCTGTTTTCCACATCCACTGGTAAATTAATTCACTGATTCATGGCATGGAATTGGAGAGAAAGTAAGCTAGCTCTTTCTGTCATCCAGAATTTGACTGTGAAATGCTGTTGCTGATGCAAATGCATACTTAATCTTGCTTAATACAATTTAATAAGAAGTAGGTCAGAAGAAAAAAAAATCAGCACTTGTTTCCAAATCATTTAGTAGGAGGAAAAAAAGCATTTTAGCTGAGTTACAGTATCATTAAACTGTTTTAACTGCATGGTTTCCTGCAACAGTCATGTTTTCCCATCTCATGGAAATAATTTCTATGTGGGCAGGTTCCCCCAGTATTGATGAATCTGATCCTCTCCTCCTTTTTGCATCTCTAGTTGTTGACAATGGTTTAAATTAAATGAAGACTGGATGTATATCTTTCTTCAGTCTACATCCAGACATCATTCACTGACCAAAATCCCTTTGGTAGAAGGCAGTGAAGTATCAGACAGAGACTGAAATTTACTGAAATTGTCAAACTCCATGTGCTGATAGTGTAAATGCTGG